TGAATGTATTGAACTTCCTGGCTATGAATTGATGTCTTTCAACAATTTTAGAAAATCCATAGTCATGATCTTTGAGAATATCACCTCCTTCCCACTCTCTGTATATTCTAATCAAATATAAACTGGACCTTCTCACTCAATCCTCTCTTTTTCTTAATCTTGCTTTCAGATTTCCCATCTCTTAGTGTCTCTGGATTGCATTCTGGGTTGTTCCTTCAGTTCCTTTCTCAATTCACTAATTTTCTTTTTTGCTCTGTCAAATCTGTTGGTTATTTCTTCCAAGAACTTAATTTAAATTTAAAAAATTTTATTTCTAGAGGATATAATGGATCTTTTCAAATCTGTTCATTTCTGCTCAAATTTTCAAACTTTTCATTTATTTCTTTAAATATAGCAAGCATAGTCTTATATTCTGTGTCTGATAAGGTCAATATCTGAAGTCTTAGTGGTCGGTTTTTGTCCACTGTGGCTGCTGCTCAGTTATCACGCCTTGTTTGCTTGTGAGATCTCTGCCTTGCTTGGCCTAGAAGTTCACCTGTGAGAGAGTTCTTTGAGTCCTCAGATAAAGTTAAATTGCTCCAGGGTGTTTCTGCTAGTCACCTGGAATGCCACCAATCCAGAACACCATTTTCGTTCTTTTTTATTTATTTATTTTTTGAGACACAGTCTTGCTCTGGCTGAGTGCAATGGCACAATCTCAGCTCACTTCAGCCTCGATCTCCCAGGCTGAAGGAATCCTTCCACCTTAGCCTCCCCAATAGCTGGGACTATTGGCAGACAGCACTGTGCCCAGCTAATATTTGTAGAGATGGGGTTTTACCGCCTCACCCAGGCTGGTTTTGAGCTCCAGGACTCATGCGATCTGCCTGCTTCAGCCTCCCAAAGTGCTAGGATTACAGGCATGAGTCACCACACCCAGCCTTGTTCTTTTTTTTTTGGAGACGGAGTCTCACTCTGTCGTCCAGGCTGGAGTACAGTGGTATGATCTTGGCTCACTGCAACCTCCAGTCCCCAGGTTTAGGCAGTTCTCTGCCTCAACCTCCTGAGTAGCTGGGATTACAGGCGTGTGCCACCACGCCCAGCTAAATTTTTATATTTTTAGTAGAGATGGGGTTTCACTATCTTGGCCAGGCTGGTCTTGAACTCCTGACTTTGTGATCCACCTGCCTTGGCCTCCCAAAGTGCTGGGATTACAGGTGTGAGCCACCGCACCTGGCCACCTTGTTCTTTTTTTGAGACAGGGTCTCACTCTGTCACCCAGGCTGGAGTGCAGTGGTGCAATCATAGCTCACTGCAGCCTCAGTCTTCTGGGCTCAAGCTATCCTCCCAAGTAGCTGGGACTATGATAGAGATACATACCACACACCCAGCTAACTTCTTAAATTTTTTGTAGAGATGGGGTCTTGCTAGGTTGCCTAGGCTGGTGTTGAACTGGGCTCAAGTGATCCTCCCACCTCAGCCTCCTGATTTACCTGGGACTACAGATCCATGCCACCATGCCTGGCTCATTTTTTTTACTTTTTGTAGTGATGGGGTCTCCCTATGTTGCCCAAGCTGGTCTTGAACTCCTGGGCTCAAGCAGTCCTTCCATCTCAGTCTCCCAAAACACTGGGATTACAGTCCATCAGCCACTGTGCCTGGTGCAGGACACTTTTAAAACTAAATTATCTTCTTAAGGTTTCACAGGCAGTGTGAATTAAAACTGAAAGGTCATATGAAGGCTGGCTTGAGGTTATTTTTCCTTCCCTCCAGGGAGGTTTAATTTTCTTTCTCTTTTTTTTTTTTTTTTTTTTTGAGACACAGCTCTTCGGCTCTGGTGAGTAACGTGGCCATGATCTTAGGCTCACTGAAACCTCTGCCCCTCCCTGGGTTCAACGGCGATTCTCTGCCTCATCTCCCCAGTCGCGTGGGTAATACGGTGCCACCACCCCATGCCTGAACTAAATTCTCGCTATTTTTGTCCAGTCAGCAGACTAGGGTTCTTACCCACTGTTGGGGGCCCAGCGCTGGTCTCACAAACTCCCTGACCTCAAATCGATCCACCTCGCTCAGCCTCCCACGGTGCTTTGGGACATTACCAGCGCGCTCGAGCCACTCGCGCCAGCCTACATTCTTCTTTCACTACTTAATTGCTGACGATCTCTGATAGGGGCGCTTCAGCTTATTCATTGCCAGAACTCTATTGGATTCTCTACTCAGGTTACGATCTTTTCATCATCTGCTTTCCATACCCTCACGGGCTCAGCGGGTCCTACGAACTTTAGCATTATTCTACCTTGCCAGGGCTTCTACTTTCTATTTTCTCACAGTTTAAAAACACACTCTTTATTGCATCAGTTACGACCATCCCTCGCCGCGCTTCCCTCTCCAGTTACAATTTAAATATACTTCTAATATACAATTCAAATATACCTGAAGTATATTCACAATTCTCTCTCTCTAATTTATCGCGCTCTTCGCTTCTCCGCTTTTCTCGCGCCGGAGTCCTCGCTCTGTTGCCCAGGCTGGATGCAGCTGCGCCGGCTCACTGCACCCGTCTGTCCCCTAAGGTTCAACCAGCTTCTCCTACCTCCGCTTCTAGGGTAGCCTCTCGTGCCTCGCGCCCTAAATTTTTGCTTTTTTAAGTACAGACGGGTTTCACCACATTGCCCCTCTGGTCTTCCACTCCCTGACCTTAGTTCCAGCTGCTTTGGACCTCCCCAGTGCAGGATTACAGGCATGAGCCACCAGCCCTGGCTCTGTATTCACGACTTTAAATATACTATTAAATATAACAATTTACGCCGGGCGCAGTGGCCTCCAAGCCTGTAATCCAGCACTTTGCGAGGCCGAGGCCGGGTGGCATCACGAGTCAGGAGATCAGACCATCTGGCTAACGACGGGGAAACCCGTCTTCTTACTAAATACAAGAAACTAAGCGGGCGAGGGTGGCGGGCGCGCCTGTGTCGCTACTGGAGGGCTGGAAGGCAGGAGAATGGTGACCGGGAGGGAGGAGCTTGCAGTGAGCCTGAAGATCGGCCACTGCACTCAGGCCTGGCGACAGAGCGAGACTCCGTCTCAAAAAAACATCGATATATATATATATATCAATTTAAATATACTATTTAAAGTATATTCACAGAGTTGTGCAACCATCACCATGTCAATTTTAGAACATTTCATTATCCCAAAAACAAATGAGGTACTCCTTAGCCATGACTCCCCAGCCCTCCCGGCAGCCCTGGCAACCATGAATCTACTTCTTATCTCTATGGATTTTCCTATTCGGGATATTTCGTGTGAACAGGATCGTATAATACATGGTCCTTTGTGGCTGGCCTTTTTCACTTAGCATAATGTTTTCAAGATTCCTCCATGTTGTAGCATGTATGTTGTACCTCTTGGTTGCCAAATAGTATTCCATTGTTGGGCTCCACATTTTGTATATTCACTCTTTAGTTGATGGATAATTGGGTAGTTTCATCCACTCAGCTGTTATAAATAATGCAGCCATTAACATTCTCTCTCTCTTTTTTTTTTTTTTTTTTTGAGATGGAATCTTGCTCGCCACCCAGGCTGGAGTGCAGTGGCACAATCTTGGCTCACTGCAACCTCTGCCTCTGTGTTCAAGTGATTCTCCTGCCTCAGCCTCCTGAGTAGCTGGGATTACAGGCATGCGCCACCACGCCCAGCTAATTTTATGGGTTGTTTATTTGTTTTTGAGACTGAGTCTCACTCTGTCGCCCAGACTGGTATGCCATGGTATGATCTCAGCTCAGTGCAACCTCTGCCTCCCGGGTTTAAGCAATTCTCCTGCCTCAGCCTCCCAAGTAGCTGGGACTACAGGCATGGGCCACCATGGCAGGCTAATTTTTTTATTTTTAGTAGAGGTGGGATTTTACCAAATTGGCCAGGCTGGTCTCAAAACTCCTGACTTCAAGTGATCCGTCCGCCTGGGCCTCCCAAAGTGCTGGGATTACAGGCGTGAGCCACTGCGCCCTGCCACGCTCTTATGAACAAGCCTTTGCATCGACACATGTTTTCATTTCTCTTGGGTATAGAGCTGGGAGTGGAATTTCTGGGTCATACGAAGCTTTGTGTTAAACCTTTTGAGAAACTGCCAGAGGGTTCTTTGGAGCAGCTGCAACATTTTACATCCTGGCAGCATCCTGTGAGGTTCCGATCCCTCCACATCCTCACCCAAGTTGTTATTATCTTTATTATTATTGTCAATGGAGGGCAGGGGATGCTGTACCTTTAAAAATAAGTTTTGCAGTTTACCGTTCTATCCCGCACTGGTTTGTTTTAGTCAAGAGGGTTCTTCAGGCAGCAAAATGACCCAACTGCCAGAAATGCAAGCCCCTGCCTTCCCTTGCTGGCTGGCTGTGGCCTCCTGTCGGACCCCTGCTTTTTCTCTTGCCCTCTTCTAAGTCTTTGTCCACACAGCACTCTAGCCACCTTTTAGAGTCCTAATGCAGTCACATCCCTCCTTGCTGCAAGCTGTGGGAGGGTCCTTACCCTTTGCTTCAGTCCACACGCCCCTAGCCCCTGGCCGGCTCCTGCGAGCCCTGCAGCTGCCCTGGATCTCCGTGTTCCCTGGAACCTCTGTAGGTGCTCCCCGTCCGCAGATGCGTGGGGCCCTTCCCCACCTCTGCTCTGGGGTGCCCTCCGCCTGGCTTCTGCTTCTCAGTGGCTTCCCAGGGCAGCCCCTTTGGGTCTCAGCGCATAGGCCCCCTACTCTGATCTACTCTGCTTGCTTTTTTTTTTTTTTTTTTTGCAATTGCTCTGCTCGCTAACTTAATGGACTTGCTCACACTTAAGCCTCTAGTTTCCAAATACAGGCCTTGACAAGGGCACGGACCGAGCCTGGCCCAGTCTGCCCATCACCCTGCCTGCTCCCTGCGCTCAGTAATATTAGTTGAATGAATGAATGCACACACTGGAGCGTGCTGGGGAGGCTTGGGGGCCACTTGGCTCTGCCCCGCCCTGCCTCTGATCCCCGCCTCCTCACCTGCCCGCAGCCACCTTCTGGGTGAACCCCCAGTTCAAGATCCGGCTGGATGAGACAGATGACCCGGACGACTACGGGGACCGCGAGTCAGGCTGCAGCTTCGTGCTCGCCCTTATGCAGAAGCACCGCCGCCGCGAGCGCCGCTTCGGCCGCGACATGGAGACTATTGGCTTTGCGGTCTACGAGGTGAGCAGGATGGATCGCCCCGTGGATCTCACTGAGCAGGCAGAGCACCTGGCACCCCCCCACCCGCAGCGCACGCAGGCTTCCGCCAGGGGGCGCCAGGGGCCGTAACCTTCCCCGCAAATTCCACCCCACACCCCCACTCTCCACTCCCGCCATCATCCTGAGGGCTGGGAGATCTCAGCCTCCAGGAGGCACCTGCTGAGGCCCTCTGGCTGAAAGAGAGGAAGAGGGTTGGCTCAGGGAAGGGAGATTCTGGGATTAACCTCCCGCTTAGAGGGCGGCCTGCTGCTCTTGGAGGAGGGAGCTGGCTCAGCTGACACCAGAAGTACTGAGCTTTCGGTCTTGGAGGCTGTGAGCAGAAGCTGGCAGGGGAAAGACAGGGGATAGGGAGGGCCTGTCGGCCAAGGTGCGGCTGTGCCAGTCGTTCTGTGATTAGAACTCCTTGCTCTTGCCCTATAGCTGCCCTGCTTCACACACTGCCCTCAAGACAGGGACAGAAACTTCTGGACCTCGCTGGTGGCAGTCTTGGCCCACACCCAAACCCCCTGGCAGCAGCCTGCGGTGGCCCTTTCTTGTCCCTGGGCTTTGGAACATTGCAGTTGGCCACCCCGAGGGCTGGCCTGGAGCCTCTGACTCAAGAGTGGAGTCCTAGGGCAGACATTCCCAGGACCAAGAGGACCCTGCCTGAGCCCTCCCTCCTGGGGCCCTGCTCTGGTGTAGGGACCACATCTGGGTCCCCAGGGCCCTGCCTTCTGCCTCCTCATCCCATCAGTCCCGTCTGAGAACTCAGGACCTCTGCCCAGCACACACCGTGACCCCGCCCTGGGACAAACACACGTCTCTGACTTCCCATGTCTCTCTATTGCAGGTCCCTCCGGAGGTAGGTGTGGCACTTGACCCACCTGCAGTCACACACCTCTGATGGTGCCACAGGGGAGCAGCCCAGTGGCAAACCCACCCTGGCCTGGAGAGCTAAGAAGTCACCTTGTTTCACTGCTTGAAAAATGCTTCTCCCCACCTGTTCAGTGGGCAGAGCAAACATTGCCCTCCTAAGGGGCAGCACAGGTAGTCAGTGAGGGAGCTGGATTTGAGCCCTGGTCCTCAGAGCTCCTGTCTGACACGTACACATGAGGCTCTTCCTGCCTTCCCATCTACACCAAGTAAGTGCCAACTAGGGCAGTCCAGCAATGTCAGGAGCAGGGCATTAGACAAGCTGAGAGTTCTGTACCCTTGAGCAGTTGCTTAAGCTCCGAGCCTGTGTTTGTGTCTGTAAAATGGGCATAACCGCAGAACAGCAAGTGAGGTGCTGAGTACCCTGCAGTGCCTGACCTGGGGAAAGCTCCCGATGATAATAATGACCATGTTATTGAAACACATGCCTAATCTGCAATCTGGTGCTCCTCTCCTCTGCAGTAAGTAGGGTTGTTACATTTTACAGATGAGGAAACTGAGGCAAAATGTCTTGTTAGGGTCACACAGGCTGTGAGTGAGTCATGTCCTAGCTCTCCAGCCCCTTGGCCAGGACAAGGAGCCTGGAGTCTGGGTCTGGGGGCGGCCCCTGAAGGTGGGCTGAGTGGGCAGTTGCAGCCCTGCTCCCTCCTCCCTCCCACCAGCTGGTGGGCCAGCCGGCCCTACACTTGAAGCGCGATTTCTTCCTGGCCAATGCGTCTCGGGCACGCTCAGAGCAGTTCATCAACCTGCGAGAGGTCAGCACCCGCTTCCGCCTGCCACCTGGGGAGTATGTGGTGGTGCCCTCCACCTTCGAACCCAACAAGGAGGGCGACTTCGTGCTGCGCTTCTTCTCGGAGAAGAGTGCTGGGACCGCGTGAGTCATGGGCCAGCCCCTGCCACTCTCCCCTCTCTCAACCTCCCCTGCTTGGCCCTCTGCTGTTCCCCTCTGACTGGCTCCTTTCCTCCCCACTCTCTGCAGGGAGCTGGATGACCAGATCCAGGCCAATCTCCCCGACGAGGTGCGTGGTCCCACCCTACCAGACCCTGTCCTCCTCTCTTCCTCACCCCTGGGTGTGTGATGGGGACCCAGGTGTCCTGTCCCCTGAGTTCCTGCTAACAGGGAAGATCCCCTCCTGGCGGGAGCCATAGGAGTAATGCTAATCCCTCATCGACCCAACACTTCACAGTTTGCAGAGGACCTGTGATACTAATGGCACAGGCCCTGAGCTCTCACCTGGTGGCGGGTTTGTGCTGAGCACTTCACCTGTGTTACCTCATTTCCTCCCCACATCAACCCTGTCCGGGTCTTGTTACTATACCTCCTCTGAATGGGAAATTCAGGTTCACAGAGGTTAGGGAACTTGCCTGAGGCCATACAGTAGGGATCCAAACTCTTACCTATTTTTTTTTTTTTTTTTGAGACGATGTCCTCACTCTGTCCACCCGGGCTGGAGTGCAAGTGGGTGATTTCGGGCTCACTGGGATCTCCTGCCTCCAGCCTGCGGAGTAAGCTGGGATACAGGCGTGCACGCTGACGCCCGGCTAATTTTGGTATTTTTAGTAGGAGACCAAGGTTCACCTGATTTGCCGAGGCAGGTTCTCGAAATCTTCACCTCAGGGATCCACCCACCTCGGCCTCCCAGAAGTGCTGGGATTACAGGCCATAAGCCATGGCACCACGCCAAACTCTTGCCTTTTAACTCCCTGACGCCACAGCACCCCCTTCATTTAGGTCACGAGTCCTGGCATGGAGTTGGGAAGGGCAGGACAAGATTACTTATTCACAGATTAGAAAAGTGAGACTCAAACTGGGTGCGCGTGGCTCACACCTGCAATCCTAGCACTTTGGGAGGCTGAAGTGGGCAGATCACCTGAGGTTCGGGGAGTTCGAGACCAGTCTGGCCAACATGGCAAACCCGTCTCTACTAAAAATACAAAAATTAGCGGGCATGGTGGTGCCACCTGTAATCCCAGCTACTCAGGAGGGCTGAGGGCAGGGAGAATTGGCTTGAACCCGGGAGGCGGAGGTTGCAGTGAACTGAGATCGCACCACTGCACTCCGACCTGGGTGACAGAGTGAGACCTCCGTCTCAAAAGAAAAGAAATGCAGGCTCAGAGAAGCCGAAGTGAACTTGTAGCAGATATGCGCCTCAGCCCTCCCTCCAGCCGCCTCCACACAGGCAGGGCCAGGGCCTCTCTTTACCTGCTTTCCCCTCTTCCCTCGGTCCAGCAGTCGCTCTCAGAGGGAGATTGATGAGAACTTCAAGGCCCTCTTCAGGCAGCTGGCAGGGGAGTAGGTTGGGGCATGGTGGGTTGGAGGGCCTGTGAGGGGCAGCCCTTTTCCTGGGGGCAGTGCCACCTCCTCTCTCTCCCCAGGACAATGGAGATCAGCGTGAAGGAGCTGCGGACAATCCTCAACAGGATCATTCAGCAAACGTGAGTCCCGCGGGGCTGCTGCCACCCCACCATTTCTTCCACGTCAGAATCCAGGCCCCTGCCCCACACACTGAGCTGAACCCCATCCTTGGTCTGCATGAACCCGGAACCCTCCAGTTTTTCTGAGCCCGGTTCCTTGCCATTTCCATCCCATACTCTTCCTCCTGACCTGCCGTCCTGTGAATCCCTGTGCTGAGGCTGTGGCCTTATGTGTTGGATAGGCACAGGCCCTTGGCCAGGCACAGTGGCTCACACCTGTAGTCCCAACACTCTGGGAGGCCAAGGCAGGAGTCGCTTCAGCCCAGGGGTTCAAGACCAGCCTGGACTATATGGAGAGACCCCGTCTCTACAAAAAAGTACAAAAATTAGCCAGGCCTGGTGGCGTGCACCTGTAGTCCCAGCTACTCAGGAGGCTGAGTTGGGAGGATGGCTTGAGCCCAGGGAGGTTGAGGCTGCAGTGAGCTGTGATCACATCAGTGCACTCCAGCCTGGGCAACAGAGCAAGACCCTGTCTCAAAAAAAAAAAAAAAAAAAAAGCAGGAGCAGCACCTTAGTACCAAGGAAAAGTCTACCCTTCCTCTCAAAGCCTCCTGGACCAGGCTGAGTGGCTTGGGGAACACCATGTGACTGGCTTCACTCCCCAGTGCAGACAACTGTTGGCAACCCCTCCCCTCTCCTCCCGTTTCCTCCCCTCCCCTCCCCTCGGCTTTGTTGCCACTGACCTCCATCCACACGGTTTCCTTAACCAGAGCCCCTCTCCTCCTCTCCTTGCCAGTAAAGCACTGCCTGCCCTCCTAGCCTGCAGCAAGCCCTGTCCTGCCCCATCTTTCTACCCAATTTTGCACTTTTCTGTTTCACACTCGTTTCTTTTTACTTTGGATTAATTGTGGCTGTTAGGACTTTGGCTTGATTGCTAACATGCTTTGCCTGTACTTCCTGATGATACAAACAATCCTGCCCACTTCCTCTGCCAGATATTGCACCCACTGGGCAGGATTTGTGCTTCCCTGACTCTGCCCCACCCAGTGCTCCCAGCAGGGGCAGGTGCAGGAATCTCGCTAGGTGGAGGTGTTGGAATTGGTTTTTCTTGCAGACAAAGACCTGCGGACCAAGGGCTTCAGCCTAGAGTCGTGCCGCAGCATGGTGAACCTCATGGATGTATCCTTCCATTTGCTTTTGTCTCCTGAGTGGGGTTTTGGGTGGAGGTATCCGTGCTGGGAAAACTGTCCCAGGACAGTGCAGAGAACGGGACAGAGCCATGTGAAGTGTGGACATACACACAGTGCCTCATGCTCAGATGCCTCCCTGGACATCTTCCTGTTGGTTGGGAGGGAGAAACTGAGGCATAGACCTGTGTCAAGTAAAAGGTGGAGCAAGACCTGGGTCCCCATTGACCCTGAGGCTGGTGCTGTTTCTGACCCCTCCCCAGCCCACTCCACTGCAGCCCAGCTCAGAACGATGCAAGCCTGGCTGTGGGCTGACTGTGTGTGGCTTTTGCTGCTTCTCCTCACCCAACCCCAAGTTGGCTTGCTGGCTCTGCAGCCATCTCCCGTTCCGCACAGTTGCCCACTCTCTCCCATGCCTGGTCTAAGTGGTGGAATTTCCTTCTTAACGGCCACCCAGCGTGACGGCAATGGGAAGCTGGGCCTGGTGGAGTTCAACATCCTGTGGAACCGCATCCGGAATTACCTGGTAGGTTGTCCCCACTCACCTCAGTCGTGTAGGTGCGGGCCGGGCCGGCGGGAAGGGCCGGGTGACTCAGCCTGGCTCTCACCCTCTGCCCCCACCCCAGTCCATCTTCCGGAAGTTTGACCTGGACAAGTCGGGCAGCATGAGTGCCTATGAGATGCGGATGGCCATCGAGTCGGCAGGTGAGACCCCAAGGCTGATGGCACCTGTGGGGCCTGGGACCGGTAGCCCCACTGCTCCTATGCCCCAGGCCCTTGTCCCCAGGGTGCTGGTGGTGACGTGGTAACAGCCATCTTGTCCTTTTCCCCGCAGTTACTGAGCGAAGTGCGTTACTGGGTTTCCTTCCTTCCTTCCTCTCTGCAGCCTAACGAGGCTAGTTTCTTTTACCATCCCCACTGTGCACATGACAAAAGAGAAGCTCAGAGAAGGAAAGTGACTGACTTCAGGCCTCACAGCCAGCAGGGGCAGAGCCAGGCTGCAGAGCCTCCAGTGAGGGAGATGCAGGGCTCACCCACCCCAGCCCGCTTAAGCACAAGGCCAGGGCATTCAGCACAAACTAAGCTGGACCCCTGAGCCCTCACTGGCCCGCTCCTGATTCCCTGGCATGACCTGGGCCCAGAGACCAGCACTCACTTGCCCAGCCCCTCACAGCTACTGGCCCTGCCCAGGAGGCCTTCATGCCCCTTCTGGAGAAGAAAAGGCCCCAGGCACCCTGCCTAGCTCCAGCCCCTCCTGGGGACTCAACCCCTCCCCCATCCTGTTGGGCAGGGGCTGCGCCTCCCTGACCTTCACTCACTCTCCTGGACCAGGCTTCAAGCTCAACAAAAAGCTTTATGAGCTCATCATCACCCGCTACTCGGAGCCCGACCTGGCCGTCGACTTTGACAATTTCGTGTGCTGCCTGGTGCGGCTAGAGACCATGTTCCGTGAGTGTCCGGCTCCGTCCCAAACGCGTCACCAAGGAGCTGGGGGGAATGACAGATGGGTGAATTAGCAGATACAGGCCAGTGCTGTGGATGTGTGCCAGAGAGGCCTGGTTCTGGGTTTGGGGGGCCCTGGCTGAGTGCCAGGAGAGTTGGGGAGGGAGGGAGTTGATGGCAGCTTCTCAGGCAGCAGGAAGGGGTGAAGCTTCCCAGGTTCAAGGGGTGTCAGCTTGGGGTACTGTGGGGAGGTAGAGAGGGACCAGGCAGGAAGGGGGCTAGGCCTGGCCCTGCATGAATGTCCCACTGAGTTTTCAGCCCTGTATCACCTTTTCTTGAACACACAGGATTTTTCAAGACTCTGGACACAGATCTGGATGGAGTCGTGACGTTTGACTTGTTTAAGGTGGGAACCTCCCCGGGCCCATGGTGGGGGAAGAGGTCCAGGCGATCGATTGAGTTTTCTTGTCTGGCCAGTGTTCCCTGTCCTTTCCTGGAAATGAGCCTGAGCCCCAGAGGCAACCCTGAAGGCCAGGCCCCCTGAGTCCCGAAAGGCTGGGGTGGGGGCGTCTGGATTCTGGGAAAGGAGCAGGAGGGGAGACCCAGGCCTTTGGAGGCCTCTATGGGAGCAGCACTCTGGTTTCCTGGGGGTGGAGGAGGTAAGAAAGTAGCCCCTTCATGAGGTCCCTGAGGTGGCTCCTGAGCCGCGGAGTTGGGGGCTGGACCTGGGGTTTGGGTGGGGAAGAAGCCAGGCAGCCATTTCTGCGGCCCCGGCTGACCTGCCTGCTCTCCCGCAGTGGTTGCAGCTGACCATGTTTGCATGAGGCAGGGACTCGGTCCCCCTTGCCATGCTCCCCTCCCTCCTCGTCTGCCAAGCCATGCCTCCTGCCACACCACACCAGGCCACGCCAGCTGCAAGTGCCTTCCTTGGAGCAGAGAGGCAGCCTCGTCCTCCTGTCCCCTCTCCTCCCAACCACCATCGTTCATCTGCTCTGGGCAGAGCTGTGTGGCCCCTGCCTGCGCCAGCTATGGGCTCGGGATGGACTCCCTGGGCCCCTCCCATTGCCAAGCCAGGAAGGCAGCTTTCGCTTGTTCCTGCCTCGGGACAGCCCCAGGTTTCCCCAGCATCCTGATGTGTCCCCTCTCCTTACTTCAGAGGCCACCCACTCAGCAGCACCGGCCGGGCCTTGACTGCAGACTGTAAACTGTAACCACTAGCTCTACACGGTCTGCAGTCCAGGCGCGTGGAGCCGCCTCCTGGCTCGGGGAGGCCCCGGGGCTGGGAACGCCTGTGCCTTCCTGTGCCAAAGCCAGTGCCCCCTCTGTCCCTCCCTGGCCCTGTTGCCGACCAGGAGCTGCCCAATCTGTGGGCGGTCGGCCTTCCCTCCTTCGCTCCTTTTTTATATTAGTGATTTTAAAGGGGACTCTTCAGGGACTGTGTACTGGTTATGGGGGTGCCAGAGGCACTAGGCTTGGAGTGGGGAGGTCCCATGTTCCATATAGAGGAACCCCAAATAATAAAGGAAAAGGCCCCACATCTGTCTGTGACTTGTTTCTCCCCAGTCTACTGCCTGGAGGGCACCTGCAGGCCCCGGCCCATGGGGGCAGCTCGTGGCCTCAGCTCACCCCTCCCCTCCAACCCTTCCATCTCTTTCCCCTCGACCTGAAGCCTGAACCCCTACTGGAGTACTGGGTATCTGGGCCAGGCTACCCCTGGCCCTGGGAGGTTGGGAAGGAGGGGCCCCAGCTGCAGGGACAGGGCCACACAGCTGAGGTCCCACATGACTCTGCTGATCCTACATGCCCTCCCCGCCGCCCAGGAGGCCTGACCCCTACCTGTCTTGCACACTTCAGCCCATTGAGGTGAGGCTCTGGCTGAAACTCAAACCTCTACTTAGCACACACCCAGTCCTCCAGGGAGCTCCCCGGAGCACAGAGCCGCCTTCAGGTGCTTCTGTGGGGAGCCCCTGTGACCCAGACACCTGCACTTATATAAGCCCCTCCAGGCCCTTCCGGGATCCGGGATTTTCTTACCAGAGATAAGAGTGGCTTGGGGGAAGGAAGAGGGGATGGGGCGAAGCTGCAAATGCAGAGCAGAGGCCGAGTTGGGGGAGGGTGGGGGTGGGCTGCTGTCAGCTACTGTGGGCCCCAGTGTCGGGGCAGAGATGGCGGTGGAGGCTCCTGTGCGCCCCATGGGGCAGGCTGCCCGCACGCTGCTGTCTTGAGCTTGCATTTTGCCCTTGTCACCTCCTCATTGGGAGTCCAGGTCCTGTCAGGCTCAGGGTCTTCAGCAGTGAGGGCAGTGGCTCAGCTCTTCCTGGAGCCTTGGTGGGTGTGTGAGGGGCTGGAGGGCGGGAGAGTGTGCTGGGCCCCGCCATCTTGCTCAAACCCTTACTTGCTCTCCAGATTGGGTTTTATTTGATGAGGGGATGGGAACACCAGAGTCTGGATGACCTGGGGCCCTAACCTCTCAAAAACTCTGAGTCATTGAGGTGGGAGTGGGAAGAGTAGGGCTTCCTCCTGACTGCCCCTATTTGGGCTTGCTTTCCTTTCTTTCTTTCCTCTCCTTCTCTCCTTCTCTCTTTCTTTCTTTCTTTCTTTCTGACGGAGTTTCTCTTTTGTTGCCCAGGCTGGAGTGCAGTGGCGTGATCTCGGCTCACTGCAACCTCTGCCTCCCAGGTTCAAGCGAGTCTCTTGCCTCAGCCTCCCAAGCAGCTGGGATTACAGGTGCCCGCCACCATGCCTGGCTAACTTTTGTATTTTTAGTAGAGACGGTTTTACCATGTTGGCCAGGTTGGTCTAGAACTCCTGACCTCAGGTGATCCACCTGCCTCAGCCTCCCAAAGTGCTGGGATTACAAGTATGAGCCACCACGCCCGGCCTATTTGGGCATTTTAAAAGGCCTTTTTCCCAAGTGTCACCTGTGCAGCCAAGTCCCTGCCTTCTTGGGAAGTGGGGAAGGGTAAGCATCTGTAACCACTGCACCCCATTATTCTGAACTCTCAGCACTTAAGGCTCCAGCTGCGATTTGGAGCCTAGTGACAGGGACTGTGTCCCATGTGCCAAGACTGGAATCGGGGCTTCCGAACACGCCTCGGTGTCCTCTGGAGGAAAAGGAACCTGACGGTGCTCCGTTCACTGCTGGGGTCCTGCCGGTGAGAGCAGTGGGCAGGGTGGCTGGACCTGCGGATCTGGGTGGTGGGCTGTGACTCGGCCCTCAGGGTGAGAGATGGAGAGACCTAGAGAAAGGGCATGGGGGAGGGGAGCCTTGCAGATGTGGGGACACCTGAACCCTCCTGTGGGGTGTAACCTGAGCCCTCTGACACAGGGTGCACAGGATGTCTGCAGTCCTCACCCCTGGCCTGTTCCTCGCACTCCCAGGGCCCCTCCCCAGCCTCTCTACATAAAGCCAGGCAGGCTGGGCCTCAGGTCAGGCCTATGGCCATGGCCTTCACAGACCTGCTGGACACTCTGGGCGGCATGGGCCGCTTCCAGCTCATCCTGTTGCTGCCTTGCGGCCTGCTGGCCTGCCACAACTTCCTGCAGAACTTCACGGCCGCTGTCCCCCCGCACCACTGCCGGGGCCCTGCCAACCACACTGAGGCCTCCACCAACGACTCGGGGGCCTGGCTGAGGGCCACCGTACCCCTGGACCAGCTTGGGGCCCCTGAGCCCTGCCGGCGCTTCACCAAGCCTCAGTGGGCCCTGCTGAGCCCCAACTCCTCTGGCCCAGACGCAGCCACGGAGCGCTGCAAGGACGGCTGGGTCTATAACCTCAGTGTTTTCCCATCCACCATCGTGATGGAGGTCAGAAGGGGCTGGGCGCGTGGGGGGCTGCTGCCGAGGCCCAGTCTGAAGCGCTCACGTCTTCCCTGCAGTGGGATCTGGTGTGTGAGGCCCGCACTCTCCGAGACCTGGCGCAGTCTGTCTACATGGCTGGGGTGCTGGTGGGGGCTGCCGTGTTTGGCAGCCTGGCAGACAGGTGAGCCCGTGGGGATAAGTGCCCCAGCCACCCAGTGCGGGCCAGAAAGCCTAGGCCTCTGCATTCATTTTTCTTTGATACAGTTGATTTGTGCATTTTAAACAGATAATACACATAGTACATTCACATGGCTTCAAATCCCAAAAGGCACAGAAGAGCCTGCTGGGGATCACCCCTTTCCTGCCTCTGCCCCTCCCTGCAGTAACCCCCAGAGGGCAGCCTGGTTTCTATGTCTTTTACCAGAGACATTTTATGATTCTATGCAGTCAGGCAAGTGGGTGTATATGTTCTATTCCCCCATTTTTATTTTCCTGTTTTGTATTTGTTTTCTTCTTCATGTCCCCCCATTTTTTTCTTTGAGATGAGGTCTCACTGTGTTGCCCAGGCTGGTCTCAAACTTCTAGGCTCAAGCAATTCTCCTGCCTCTATCTCCCAAGTAGCTGAGGTGACAGGCCTAGCCATCCTTTTATTATGCAAATGCTGGCATACACCCCACATGGTCCTGTACCCAGCTTTTTCTTCACTTTGGAGGCCTCCTCTCCTATTCCTTCAGAAAGAGCTGTCCCATCCCTCCTAGTCTTCACACTACACCCCACTGTATGTATGAGCCAGTAGGAACCCTAACTTGCTCCCCCTTATTTTTTAGGGTGAGGTCTCACTCTGTCACCCAGGCTGTAGTGCCGAGGTACGAACATAGCTCTCTGCAGCCTCAACTTTCTGGGCTCAAACGATCCTCCTGCTTCAGCCTCCCCAGTAGCTGGGACTACAGGCACCCACCAACACACCCAGCTAATTAAAAAAAATTTTTTTTTTTTAGTAGAGATGGGGTCTCACTATGTTGCCCAGGCTGGTCTCAAACTCCTGGGCTCAAGCAATCTTCCTCCCTCTACCTCCTAAAGTGCTGGGATTTCAGGTGTGAGCACATCGCCTGGCCTAACTGACCCCTATTGACAGACGGCGATGTGCAGCCAGCTCATGGCTCTGAAGTTGGCTCCCACGTCTCTCTCTCTCTGCACCTCTTTCCCCTTCCTCCTCTTCGCTCTCTCTCCCCTCTCCCTTCTCCTCTGCCCTTCTTCTCTCAGTTCAGGTTTGGGGGGTCCTCCTGGACTCCACCCCACACTCTGGAATGTAGATGGCTCCCTGTGCCACACACCTCAGGCCCTCATCACACTGTCATGACACATCCTGGTCTTTCTACATGTGAGCTTGTGTCTTATCCAGTGTCTCATTTGTCACCAGCCCTCAACTCAGGCCCGTCACTTAGAGGTGATTAATGATCAATGAACATTGTGTCACAATGAATGAGTGAATGAAAGAATGCATGAAGAAATGAGTGAGGGGGTGAGTGAGTGGGTGAGTGGGTGAGTGGGTAAGTGAGTGGGTGAGTGAGTGGGTGAGTGAGTGGGTGGGTGGGTGAGTGGGTGGGTGAGTGAGTGGGTGAGTGAGTGGGTGAGTGAGTGGGTGAGTGGGTGAGTGGGTGGGTGAGTGGGTGAGTGGGTGGGTGAGTGGGTGGGTGGGTGGGTGGGTGGGTGGGTGAGTGAGTGAGTGAATGAGTGAGAGGGTCATGGGGTATGTGGAGAAGAAAAGCTGCCTCCCTTCTTGGCCTGCTTCCCTCCTGGCCAAATTGGGGTTGTGTGCTCTGGCCCTGGACCCTCATTTGCAAATAGGGCAAATCACCCTGCCATCCTGTCCTCGGGCCCCTCTGTGGCATGGCAACCCTCTAGTCCACGTAAAGACTCAACCCTGGCTCCTGCTCCCACACTGGGGACTGGCCAAGGGCTCACCCACTGTGAGTTCTGGTTCGAGGCCTCCCTCTAGCCAGAACAGTGCTCAGGTGACCTCTCCCCACCTGCCACACGCCCCTCTGGGGCTTTGTAGAGTCCCTGCCTTTCCTCGAGCCTGGACTAAATCTCCTTGCCAACTTCCTTCTACACCATGTCCCTGTGTCTGTGACCAACCTCTGCCACGAAGCTTGGGTCCCAGCAGTTTCAAGTTTCTGTTTTGGAGGGGTGGCTTTCGCGGGGTACCCCATCTTCCCCGTGACGTGACTGCCTTGGTAACGCCCCTGCTCGGGTGGAAGGGGCAGGCGTGGGCTGCCAATTTGTTCCTTGGGGGCTGCTGCTGCTGCCTCTCAAAACCCTAATGCCTGTGCCCATTCTCTGGACTCAGGCTGGGCCGCAAGGCCCCCCTGGTCTGGTCCTACCTGCAGCTGGCAGCTTCGGGGGCCGCCACAGCGTATTTCAGCTCCTTCAGTGCCTACTGCGTCTTCCGGTTCCTGATGGGCATGACCTTCTCTGGCATCATCCTCAACTCCCTCTCCCTGGGTGAGTCCAGCCGAGGAGAGGCCGAGAAGGACTGGGGCTCCTGAAAGAGTGGGGCAGGTGGGGGGCAGGAGGGCGGGGGGCAGGGGACACGGGGATGGCAACGTCCAGGGTCGTTGGACATTTTTCTCATGTTGTTTTGTTGGGATTCTCATCCAGCAACCTCATCTCAAAGCCTCCCGCCAGAGTTCTGGACTTGGGGGACCTGGGCTCCCGGGTAGCGGTGGCCCTGCTGGCTGTGGGTG